GACATATATCAGCTACCATACTGGGACATATATCAGCTACCATACTGGGACATATATCAGCTACCATACTGGGACATATATCAGCTACCATACTGGGACATATATCAGCTACCACACTGGGACATATATCAGCTACCATACTGGGACATATATCAGCTACCACACAGGGACATATATCAGCTACCATACTGTGACATATATCAGCTACCACACTGGGACATATATCAGCTACCATACTGTGACATATATCAGCTACCACACTGGGACATATATCAGCTACCATACTGGGACATATATCAGCTACCATACTGGGACATATATCAGCTACCATACTGGGACATATATCAGCTACCATACTGGGACATAAATCAGCTACCATACTGGGACATATATCAGCTACCATACTGGGACATATATCAGCTACCATACTGGGACATATATCAGCTACCATTCTGGGACATATATCAGCTACCATACTAAGAAATATATCAGCTACCATACTGGGACATATATCAGCTACCATACTGGGACATATATCAGCTACCATACTGGGACATATATCAGCTACCATACTGGGACATATATCAGCTACCATCTGGGACATATATCCTACCATACTGGGACATATATCAGCTACCATACTGGGACATATATCAGCTACCATACTGGGACATATATCAGCTACCATACTGGGACATATATCAGCTACCATACTGGGACATATATCAGCTACCATACTGGGACATATATCAGCTACCATACTGGGACATATATCAGCTACCATACTGGGACATATATCAGCTACCATACTGGGACATATATCAGCTACCATACTGTGACATATATCAGCTACCATACTGGGACATATATCAGCTACCATACTGGGACATATATCAGCTACCATACTGTGACATATATCAGCTACCATACTGGGACATATATCAGCTACCATACTGGGACATATATCAGCTACCATACTGGGACATATATCAGCTACCATACTGGGACATATATCAGCTACCATACTGGGACATATATCAGCTTACATACTGTGACATATATCAGCTACCATACTGGGACATATATCAGCTACCATACTGTGACATATATCAGCTACCACACTGGGACATATATCAGCTACCATTCTGTGACATATATCAGCTACCATACTGGGACATATATCAGCTACCATACTGGGACATATATCAGCTACCATACTGTGACATATATCAGCTATCACACTGAGACATATATCAGCTACCACACTGGGGCATAAATCAGCTGTCAAGATCATTACAATCCTTATAGATATTTCACTGGTGGAGGATGTGTGTGTGTGTGTGTGTGTAGGGGGGGGGGGGATCCGTAGATACACATGGTTCCCACACACAGCCCATGGACCCTACTTACCGACTACCCTAGGCGTGGCCATAATGCTCCTAACATGTATAGTCACGTGCTATGACAAAGAAAAGATCAGATACATCTGATTACGATTTGTAATCACTTTCAATCTGCATTTACTATCAGTTTCTTAGCGTTGTTTTGCGTGCTCCGTCAGATAGTTTTTCAGTATAGCAGACATCACACAGTTTACAAATTTAAAGATAAGCAAGTGACAGGCAAGCTATCCTTTGAAGTCATAGTGCATCTGCCTTAGCGAGGTACCAGTAGTCTGCCCAAAAATAAACCAGATCTGTAAGGCGGGTGTGAACGCAACACCCATGTCCTGGAACAAGAATAAAGTTCAAAAGGGGACGAACACCGAGGACTTTGCGCTGAAGTTTACTGCCGGTGAACTCGAAAAAAAATAAAATCATGGACATAGTCTAACAAGATGACTTATTACGACCAGAAGCCTGGAGTAACAAACACAAGAACATCTTTCCGTGAGATAAATGCATTTCTGACCTAGACAATGTTGTCGTGTGGCTATTACTACATATGCTTTTTCAGTTAATGAATTTGAATGTCCTCATGCAAATTTAAACAAGCCTCACACAAATAATTCATTGCATAACACTTTAAAACAGCATGTCATGTTAGTTTGGAACTTTAATTTGCTAATGAACAAGTGCACAATAATATATGTATATTGAAACAATAGTATCGTTGTAGTGTTATTCGAAGTAAGAAAATTGTAGAAAAAACAGCAACATAGTACTTTAAAACTTGATGCATATGAAAGAGTAATGAGAAAACTAATGTAGAAAATCTATGCTAAATCTTAGTGAAATACGCAAAGTTACTGTAATAAAGTGCCATTAATAAATGGATCTAAGCAAATGGCCGATTAGCCAAAAAAGATGACATGATATGAATGTGGAAGAGATAGAAGAACACAAATTACAATTACATGAGTGTGCGTAATACAGTTTTTATAGCGAATTGTGTGGGTGACCTGTTTGAGAATATAATCACATAACTAATGTCACTGCAAACTAACACATCTGACACAGTCTTCCAAAGCCGATCACAGTTGGTATACAGTCTCTAGAAGACATTCAGATACAATCTCCTGAACAGCCTACTGAAAGTGAACATCCAGATATTCAATCTTCTATAACAGCCTGTTGAAAGTTGTCGGAAAAAACCCGGTGCAACGAAGTCGATCCTCTTCGATCCTCTCAACTTAACTTTAACGCTAACTTTTAAAATAAGTAAGAGGGAGAACATATTTTTTCCCCAAAGATATTTCATCCAGACCTCAAATCTTGTGTTTATGATATCCTCGTCAAATATCAAAGAAAAAAGTTTTAAGCACAAGCGCAGACGTAAGCACACACTTGCAACCAGATAGAGCATGGGCATACAACTAAACCAGCCTTACGTATATGCAATAATAAAACGAACGTATCATGTATAATCTGACATAAGTTAATATTAACCCAACTTATCTTCAAGTCATCAAAACAAGTTAAAGCACGTGCATATATATCATTCAGCTGTCAAGTGGAAAAAGTTGCATAACAAAATTATGGAAGGCGGCAGTGAAACCATAAACATCACAGGGCAAACATCCACTGTTCCAAGTCTGGATTCATTGTGACATGTGTGCGGACATTCTGCACAACTGACTATTCTATTCATAATTTTTCCTTTTGTTTTTAAATTATCTTTTTATATTTGCTAATGAAAAAATGATTAACAATTCCCAATGTGAGCAACTATTTATCAGTGGCGAGGCGTGATCAACTGGCATGTGTAAGCAGTTAACGATTATTTAGAGAATGTATCAAGTGACTTTCCCTTGTCGCTTATCTGTTAAAAGTAAGCGTGCGCTGCCAGCATTGTAGTACAGTATTAGTAACTGGTAACTTTCCCACTTTCAGTTTCTACATAAGCGGCGAGCGTTTTTTTCCTCTCTATGTCTGAGTCATAAACCAAGGGGTACATATTTTTAAAAGTAGTCAACAGTAATTTAAAACAGTAAAATAATGCATTTGTCTTTGACAATGGAAGGTGTCAGCGGCGATTACAGCCGCTGCATGGACGCCTGGCCACTGCTATATATGCATATAATTCATCACCCTCTTCTTCATGTACGAGGTCCTTTGCAGAACGTCACTCTCATCACGGTCTGCCTAAAAGAAACTCGATCTCTCGCCAGCTCTCCCGCCTCGTGTACTTTCATATTCAAGGAGTCACTTATATGATATGCCCATCTCCGTGTTGGTCGGCCCCTGCTCTCCTTCCTGGTACCATGCCTTCTGCTATTAATTTTTCCCAATCCGCCATGGCGCTTGATATGACAGAAATATTTCAGCTTCAGAGACAAGAAAGATGCTGTTTATTAGCCAATTTTCCTTCATGTTCAAATCAGTTGAAATGTTAGTATTTCTGACCTTCTTTATCAATAGTATTCGGATAATCATTCTATAACATTTCAGATCAAAAAGTGCTATTTTTTTAAGGACACACACACAAACACACACATATAAATATATACTTGTGTGTGTGTGTGTGTGTGTGTGTGTAGATAAAAGATTGTACAGGACAGAACGGACTGGAGCAATCTATTGCAAGCCTTTGTGGCTTGTAAATGGCATGATATGATGATGGTGGTGATGTTGATATATCTGCAGTAGGATGAGTAGAGCAGTGTCTAGACCACTCGTCTACTGGTTTCATCGTCCTGGGTTCACACCTCGTGTCCACCTCGTCATTTAAATAGACATGGGCTGCCAGTTTAGCCCAATATCAGATGGGCACCAGTAACTAATTTGGGAAATGTAGACTGGCCAGATCATCCAAAGTGTCGATTCCTCAAATGAGATAGGAATCTGGCACCGTCAGAGGAAGTAGAGACACAGAAAGGGAGGAGGGGGCGGGGGGAGGGAAAATCGAGGGCGGGGGCAGGGATTCGGGAAGAAACTTAAGGGCTTTATAAACGATAGCCACAACGTGGCTTAGGCATTGCGAACCTGCTTGGTAATGCGGAAGCGCCGTGTTCGATCCCAGCTGCAGGCGATTTGCAACTGACTGCCTTGCCTTGGTTTTGACCGTTTAGAAACAATGGCACATCACTGAACGTCAACATGTCTAGAAAAACAGCAACAGCGAAACAATGCTGGGTTGGTTCCTCAACCTCCTGTAAAGGATACACAACTAACCTAACTAGTCACTCATCATGTAGCAGATCCTTTGCAGAACGTCGCTCTCATCACAGTCTGCCTGAAAGAAACTCGGTCTCTCGCCAGTTCTCCTGCCTCATGCACTTTCACGCTCAAGCAGTCACTTAAATCCTGTGCCCATTTTCGTGTCGGTCGGCCCCTGCCCCTCCTTCCTGGTACTACTAGTCACTACAGTCTAATAAACCCACATGTAATTATGTGTTTGACAACATATTTGTCCATGGATGTATGTGTGTGCTTCTGAGTACTCATGGATTAAACTTACCAACAATATATAAACACCCGTTCCTCAAGATTAAACACAAAACACAGAAAACAGTACAGTTCTGACCGGTTACTCCTCTACAGTTGGCAGTCTGGGATTCATCATATGCGTCCTCGGCCAGTTTTGTGTGAGTAGAACTTGTTAAAATTCTCAGTAATGATAGGCACTGGTATAGCAAGCGTCAGCACCCCAGTCAGTGTGCACATCATTCCGATTAACTTTCCCAGAGGCCCAACTGGCACCATGTCACCATATCCAACCGTTGTCATGGTAATGATGGCCCACCAAAAACCGTCTGGAATGCTATGTATCTTAGAACCCTCGATACCTATTTCGGCGAAGTATACAGCACTAGAAAACACGAGTATACACACAGTAATTGCTACAAGAAACAAACACAGGCCCTCAATGCTGGCTTTGAACGTCAGTATCAACACCTGCAGGCCAGCCGAGTGTTTGGTCAGTTTAAATATCCGTACTAATCGAAACACACGAAGAAAAGCTAGCGATGCTGAGGATTTCATACTCTCACAGGTCATCTTAGAGATAATGTTGAATAACGCCACATAATAAGGGAGAACAGCCGTTAAATCCACCAAATTTTTGAAGTCTTTGAAGAAGGTGACCTTACTGGGACATGAGAGTAGCCGGGCCGCAAATTCTACAGTAAACCACACGGAGCATATCGTTTCCACCAGGAAAAACGGGTCTGCCCAGTTGGGATGATCTCCATGGACACATTGTTGAGTATTCCACCCAGGCAACGTCTCCACGCACAAGAGAGCAATGGCAGTCACAGTCACAACGACAGAGACTACTGCTACAATGTAGGCGTACATTGATGTCTCGGGGTATTCCATCAGCATCCATACTTGTCTCTTCAAGCCTCGCTCTGGGAGAACAATGTTCTCCGTGACGTAACCCTCTCCGCGCCTGTAGTCTTCCACAACGTGTCTTTCAATCTGGAAGAAGTCTAATTCTGAGAGGAAAATATCGTCTGGCACTGGAGGTGGCCGTTTTAAACGCCCGCCGTACAAATAATAGTGGAAAATGGCGTCGAATGTAGGTCGATGTCTGTCGAAGAAGTACTCATTTCTACTGTTGTCAAAGAACTGACATCTTCTGTCAGGATTGCCAAGTAAAGTATCGGGGTGATTTTCTAGGGTTTTCCTCCAGGTCTCAAAGTATTTGCCACTGACATTGATAGTTATTCGTTCACATGTGCTTAACTGGCATGCATGCTGAAGTGGTAGTAATTCTCCGTTCTCGTTGACACATCGTCGACGCGGGGGACAGGGTTTAGAGTTGTGGCTACTGCTAGCACCCTGGCCACTGTGTTCCCCAGCGTGCAGCCAGAGGTCACTGGCATCTCCAGCGTCCACGTTGAGGCGCTCACGACTACTGTATGTCCGCTTGTATGGCGCCTGGTTTAGGAGCGACACCACAGCCATTGCTAGCTAATACGGTTTACAATAATAGCCAATTTTCAACATTGGCAAAAAGTGTAACATGATTTGGTGGTTTTAACTTGTGTCAGTGATGTGGACTGTCAGCAGACACAAAAATATTCAATCAATTTGCAGACAACGATATGAAATTGAACCTCAAAAATGTTCGCTTTCTGGATCACAATTTGCTAGCACAAGATGCTGGGTCACGTTTGTACCCTCGACAAATCACACAAGTCGGTCTTCATTTCAGACGTGTTTTCTTGTTTCTAGAGAATACCTTCATTAGTTATTGATTCTGTTCTCCAAAGAAATAACTGAACAAGAGGTAAACGTAGCACGACGTTAGCTCCCGGTGATTCTGTCTGTAAAGGCGCAACTGCATTAGCAAACTTCCATTGGATTGCCATCTACCAACTTATAATGTTGACACTGACAGTATGGAAACATAAAAATGACTCCTATTGCAGTGTATCCAAACAGAACAGTGCTTTTTTTTTAAATCTATGAAAAGTATAACTAGTTTATCCAACGCACCAGCTGTTCATTTGGGAACTTTAGTCGCACTGAATACTGAAATGAAGGGAATATATCTGGAACAAGCATATTCAACTATGTATTTTGTTTATCGTCGTTTTATGATGTTTAATAAGGCAATATCTACCATAAAGCGATAGAAACATGTCACACTATCCCAGAAAGACATGACAGATAAGATTAAAGGGGGACACATGGGAATATTTTACTTAATGTAATAGAAGTCTCGACCAGGCTCTACGAGATCAAACACGAAAGACAAGACTGAAGAGAAAACATACGGGGAATGTTATACTTATTGTGACCGAATCACCATCAGGCCCCGTGAGACAGAAATTCTTTGTCTGTCTCCTTAGCGTTCATCTGCTATAAACTTTAGCTAAAAGTTATAGTTGTTCGTCCTCTTCTAGACTCTAGTCCTGTTCCAGAACTTGGATTGTTGCATGCTGGCTTATTTGTTTGCAGACTGTTGGTTCCTTGCCTATCAGACAGATGCATTCTGACTTCAAAGGAAACACACATTTAGTCGCCTCTTACGAAATGCATGTTAGCGATGTAGTGGGTCTATTCCTGCCTCCCCCCCCCCACCCCCAACCGCTGATACAATAGGGCCAAGAACCCACACAGAGAAAAAGGAAATAAAACAAAAGAGAAATCACTCGGTCAAATAAAGTAACGAATCTCTGAGGTTAAAGCGATTGCATGTTTTTGGAGTGAAGCCTGGTAAAAACAGTCATTGCTACCCAACAGTCAATGGATCGAAAACTGTTCCTCCTCACGGTGTTTAATGGCAAAAGTGAAAACTGATAACTACGACGATGACTTGCTGAAATAGTTATTTACTGACTACAAGACAAGTTTCCCAGGTGAAATACAGCGGGCATGACGATCAAAGAAATTAGAACAATCATATAGTTTACACTGACTGAAGAATGAAGACTGAAATCAGACACAAAATGACCTGACAAAATATAATGAAGTCGGATAATCCTTGACAGAGAATGTTGAGGGTGAGACGGTAAGAAAACAGACCTGGACGAAGACAACTGATAGCAGATATGGTTGTTTGGGATGATTTAATGATATATACCGAGGTATTAGTTCAGCGATGTGAGAGATCTCCATGGGAGCTTCACAGATGGGTCAACAGCAGAGAAGGAAAGAATGTGGACATGCCTTGACTGCTATAACGTCATTGCTTACATGATATTTTCCACAACTTTCTAGCAGAACGAAGCAGACATTATAGTATGTGCACAGTACCTTCTTTATCAACAGACAGTGAAAAGAAAGTTACACAGAGAAAAGGATGAGTGGAGAGGGAAGAAGGAGGAGGAACAGAAGAGCTGGAGTCAGGGGAATTGGTAGAAAAAACAGACTATTCATCATTAAAGCACAACAGAATGAGAGAGCAGCTAGACGCTAGCCTGCAGATCCACAGATCTTGGGTTAAAATCCGCACGGACCTGGATGTTTCCAAGCATGACCTTGGCTTCTAGGACGAATCAGCCTTGACCGATGACCAGGTAATATTATAGGGAGTACAGGCAGCCGGTGTGATTTTGAACACATCATCTATCTAGTGTTAGAGGGTCAATACTGGTCCACACCAGCGGTCGGCAAGATCCTTAGCCGACAGAGCCAAAAATCAGCAGCAGGACGATTTAAATGTTTTTGAGAGCCACATTTCTTTTCCAGAAACTGGCCAGAACCATGTTTGTTGGTGTCAAAACCCAGTTGTGGCCGACTGACCGAGCCACACTCAAGTCGCCAAAGAGATGTATGTGGCTCCCGAACCGCGATTTGTTGACCACTGGTCTATACAATATCACTGGTCTATACAACATCACTGGTCTATACAACATCACCGGTCTATACAACATCACCAGTCTATACAACATTACTGGTCTATACAACATCACTAGTCTATACAACATCACTGGTCTATACCACATCACTGGTTTATACAACATCACTGGTCTATACCACATCCCTGGTTTATACAACATCACCAGTCTATACAACATCACTGGTCTGTACAACATCACCAGTCTATACAACAAAACTGGTCTATACAACATCACTGGTCTATACCACATCACCGGTCTATACCACATCACCAGTCTATACAACATCACTAGTCTATACAGTATCACTTGTCTATACAACATCACCAGTCTATACATCACTGGTCTATAACATCACAGGTCTATACAACATCACTAGTCTATACAACATCACTGGTCTATACAACATCACTGGTCTATACAACATTACTGGTCTATACAACATCACTAGTCTATACAACATCACTGGTCTATACAACATCACCGGTCTATACAAAGTCACTGGTCTATACAACATCACTGGTCTATACAACATTACTGGTCTATACAACATTACTGGTTTATACAACATCACTGGTTTATACAACATCACTGGTCTATACAACATCACTGGTCTATTCAACATCACTGGTCTATACAACATCACTAGTCTAAACAACATCACTGGTCTATACAACATCACTGGTCTATACAACATCACCAGTCTATACAACATCACCGGTCTATACAACATCACTGGTCTATACAACATCACTGGTCTATACAACATCACCGGTCTATACAACATCACTGGTCTATACAACATCACTGGTCTATACAACATCACTGGTCTATACAACATCACTAGTCTATACAACATCACTGGTCTATACAACATTGAAACTGGTCTATACAACATCACTGGTTCTATACACATCACTGGTCTATACAACATCACCGGGTATACAAAGTACTGGTCTATACAACATCACTGGTCTATACAACATCACTGGTCTATACAACATCACTGGTTTACACAACATCACTGGTTTATACAACATCACTGGTCTATACAACATCACTGGTCTATTCAACATCACTGGTCTATACAACATCACTAGTCTAAACAACATCACTGGTCTATACAACATCACTGGTCTATACGTCTCCTAAGTCTATACAACATCACCGGTCTATACAACATCACTGGTCTATACAACATCACTGGTCTATACAACATCACCGGTCTATACAACATCACTGGTCTATACAACATCACTGGTCTATACAACATCACTGGTCTATACAACATCACTGGTCTACAAACATGTGAGTCTAGCCTCATATGCCTATTGCGTCACAGGGACCTTTCCTGTAATAGGATACTGAAACTGTTGGAGTTCAAGGCAACGAGGTTTAGTTCTGGAGACACTAATGTCTGACTGTGACATGTTTATGCTGCAGAAAGTGAAGACCGATGTGTAATAAGAGTGACCAGGGCATACCAGCTACATCAAGCCACCTGCAAGGGAGTGTCATGGTCAGGGACTACTTGTCGAGGATGGAATACGGCATGTGTCAATTGACATGAATGGCCTAATATAGGGATAGTAAGAAGATGCAGGGAATATACGTTGAGATTACTGGAGCGATACGCAACATAAATAATGTGTATGGTCAAGGAGATTCATGTTTGACCAAAGAGAGCTGTGAGTGGCTAAAACAGCTAGAAAACTTAACGGAAAGAAGACTGCTCCTAAGTTGAGATTTTAACGCCCGCGCCAATGAGTAGGATAAAGGGCCATTTTCCACGAAGGAACACTAGGACTAATCCAACAAATTTGCCTATGGTGTACATTAAGGTTCCAACACAGAATGGACACGGTTACAGTGGCAATTGATATTAATGATGGTTACAGTCAAGTCAGATATTGCGCTCTTCTACACATGCTAATGAATATGCAAGTCTATCCCTGGATTGTTGTTAACTGTGTGTCAGCGGTGATCTGGAATCTTTGCCAAGATAAACCAAAATATTGACCACACACACACACACACACACACACACACACACACACACATACAAACACACACACAGGCATATATAACACGCCAATATATAACAGCCAAAGGACATAACTGTTCATCTACACACCTCGCCCAATTCCTTAAAACGAAACCGCTAGAACAAATCAAAGGCGAGTAGACAATATTTTATCTACGCAAACCTCACGAAACGGTTATCGACCACAAACGGTAGTGCACTCATATACTAACACGACGACGGCACACCATTAACACATCGGTTACCAGGCAAACCATCCAGCGTACAGAACAGGGAGCACAAGAAACGCACATTAAACTTCCTGTCATTTGTGAGTGCTGATTCCTTCAACTGGTATTAAACACATATTTATTAACAGCATCTAACGGACGAGTGGATAAGGCTGACAAAGTTTGCTCATTCTTGGTCTAGAATCCCAGAGAGAGTGAACATAACGCTGCAATTTGGAGAGAACTGCACGGACAGTGACCTCGCTGGTCGAGCTCTCACACGACAGAGATGGACAAGTTGTGGTCGCAGCACTGTGTGGTTCCGCTAACAGTTTACCCCGGGTTTGTGATGTGGCTGGGGATGCG